ATTATCCAAATATCTGAACAAAGTATTTATTCCATGCATATTAGGTTGGAGAAGTGTATCCTTGTGGCTTTTGAAGGAAGTGATGGTCCAGGAGGGTTTATTAGGTAATAGCAAAATATTCTCCTAAAATTCAGGCATTTAAACTTTCCGTGTAGAGTATATCGTGAAATATTTGGGACTTAGAGACTTCTAAAAGATCCTTAAAAATAAAAAGTTGTATGCATTGTATTCAGATATAAACCATTTTTAAAATCATTTTATTTAATCTTTTTAATCTCTTGGATATTCAATAAAATGATGTATACTCATTTTAGTGATGAAAATTATCTTTCAGATACGAGTTTAGTAGTTAGAAATATAAGAAGGAAGAATATGTTAACAGATCTATGTAGTGCTACTAATATGTAAACAGATCTATGTAGTGCTACTATTATGTTTACAGATCTATGTAGTGCTACTAATATGTTGACAGATCTATACTATGCTTTTAATTCGTTAAGATATATATATGAAATGTTCTTTAACAGATCTATGTAATGATAATATTGTGTTAACAGATCTTTGTAGTGCTCCTAATATGTTAACAGATCTTTATGTAGTGCTACTAATATGTTGACAGATCTATACTATGCTTTTAATTCGTTAAGATATATATATGAAATGTTCTTTAACAGATCTATGTAGTGCTCCTAATATGTTAACAGATCTTTGTAGTGCTCCTAATATGTTAACAGATCTTATCAGAGATAAGTAAAGCTTCTAATTCGTTAACAGATCTATGAAGTGCTACTAATATGTTAAAATATCTATATTATGCTTCTATTTCGTTAAGAAATCTATGTAATGCTTTTAATTCGTTAACAGATCTATGTAATGCTTTGAATTCGTTAACAGATCTATGTAATTAGTACAATACGTTACCTGATCTTTGTAATACTTCCAATTCTTTAACAAATCTATGTATTGATTACAATACGTTAACAGATCTATGTAGTATGTAATGCTTCTGCTACTTAAATGTTAATAGATCTATGTAATGCTAGTAATTCTTTAAAAGATCAATGTAATGCTACTAATTCGTTCACAGATATATGTAATTCTTCTAGATAGTTGTGCTTTTTATGAAACTTTTATGATATATTATTTTACAATAATTAAAATAAACATTTTAGCATGAATCCTGTCGTCTAATGTTTAGCTGTTAAAATTTTTGGGTACATTCAATTTCATTTTTACCTCTCCTTGTTTGGGGGGGGGGGCTTAGATTTTGGTTTTAAATGGAGAACACTTTGCTGAGATTGTCTGTTATACTCCTGTTATACTCCTGTTGTACTCCTGTTGTACTCCTGTTGTACTCCTGTTGTACTCCTGTTGTACTCCTGTTGTACTCCTGTTGTACTCCTGTTGTACTCCTGTTGTACTCCTGTTGTACTCCTGTTGTACTCCTGTTGTACTCCTGTTGTACTCCTGTTGTACTCCTGTTGTACTCCTGTTGTACTCCTGTTGTACTCCTGTTGTACTCCTGTTGTACTCCTGTTGTACTCCTGTTGTACCCCTGTTGTACTCCTGTTGTACTCCTGTTGTATTCCTGTTGTACTCCTGTTGTACTCCTGTTGTACTCCTGCTGTACTCCTGTTGTACTGTTGTACTCCTGTTATTGGTGGAAAGTGGGTACTTTTATTATCTGATTTCCTCTTGAGAGTTTTGTAGGTTTTCTAGAATTCTTTAATGATGATGATTAACAAATAACTGAAAAGCTACTAATTTCAAAATTGTTATGTGAATTTTTTCTTTTCTTACACCTTGCCAAATTTGCCAATTTTGCAAATTTTGACCCTGATAGAAATTGTGAGCAAAACAAAACTGCCAAAACTATCTATTAATGGCCAATGGGTTGTTTTTCTTTAGCATTTTTTTCAAAAAATAGTTCGTGTTGTAAAGATATATTTAGCTTGTTCCTTACCTGAAATTATTTTTCTGTAAGTATTAAATTAACATAAACAAGAGCTCGAGGGCGGTTTATGACCTTTTTTCAGGGAGGCGGGGGTAGCGTGCTTAATGTAGTTCCCCCAATTCCTGGAAATTTGAAAATTTTATAAAGGGGATTTGGTCATTTTAATGTGAACCAAGACAGCTGGGGTGGAAGGTGGAATAATATTGTTAGCAACATTTTGATTTTTACAAAAAAAATCGTAATTTTGAGCAAAAAAGCGGCTCCGAATGAGATTTTTTTTATCTATCTCACCCTGTGTTCCAGGGAGGGGGTACGTCCCTCAAATTATCCGGGGGGGGGGGGGGCGTTGCTCCCTACCAAGAAGCTTCTGCAAAAACTATACACATTATTCAGATTAAAAACTTACCAGTATTCCATAAAATTCTAAATTTTTCCTATGTTTATTCCGTAAGTCAGTAAATTATGGAAAAATCAGAATTTGTTTCATAAATCGTGAACATAAACTATGATACTGACATCTGTGTATAATTTTTAAAGCAAATTTTCAGTGTTCTATCATAAATTGGAAGAATTGGAATTACAGGTTAATAACTGAATGGGGAGTTTGAGTTTCTGGATTATAATATGGAAAAAATATGACAAGATTGACATCAGATTGATTTTATTATATTAAGTTTTAGTTGTACAATATAACAATGTTACAAAAAAAACTAACGATCATTACAGTGTGTCCCAATTAAACATTTGGGAATTCATGGTGACGAATCGATATCGTCTTTTTAAATAAATCTTTGATGTTACAGTATAATGAAACCTATACTGAGAAAGCTGTAAACTGTTTAAGAGTTTCGTCTGATATTGATACATTTTGTTTGTTTAATTGTTTTGACTGCATACGGTTGTACTATAAGAAAACAAGAAAATTACAGTATACTGCAAACGGAGTAAACTTGTCCGTCTTCACATGTTCTTGCGGATACATTATGACACATCAATTACAGTGTTTTATCCTTTTCATAAAATAAACTCTAGCAGACATAATAATATTACCGTACGACGGTACGTCTTTTGAAATTAGGTTTTACAATGCTAATTTATAGCAAAGACGATATCGAATTCGTCACTGAATTCCCATGTTTTTGGGACACCCTATTACCTTTATCAATACACTTAAAACAACATTAAGAATTAGTTTGCCAAGGATTTTAAAACGGACAGGTCGTCAGTAATTTTGAAATTTCGCGGTTACATGGCGGGCAGGGTCTACTAATACAAGGCGGACAGGGTCAACATATACGGGGAACTATCAGGGAAATTAGGGGACTTGTTGGTAGGAAATAGGAATTCGGATACAAAAGCTTGTACTGTCACGGTATGCTCGTCAACGTTTAGTGACTCAGCTGATGAAATTAAACACCAAAGTTCTCAAAATCAATTCATCATTTTTTAAGAATAAAGATCTGTTCTTTATGTGGCATTTATTGAAATTTTTGCAGGAGAGAAAATTGTTACACCCGATGATTGGGTCTGTCGTAGTGAACGAATTTTGGACCCCCCCCCTCCTATCAATTTTGTTCAGGATGACCAAATTAGTATTTATTTAGTATTATTTAGGTTTAGGGCTCTGTCCTAGCTAACGATTTAGGTAATTTCCTAGTATACGATTTTTGGACCCCCCCAGTATTATTTAGGGTTAGGTTAATTAGGTTAAGACACTTTCTGGGCCGAAATTTTACGGTGATTACTAATTGAGGTGGTGGAGATTACCAATTGAGGAGCGCGCTTGCCGCAAAACAGATTTGGGTGGCGGTGATTACTATTTGAGGAACTCTGGACTCCCTCCCTCCTTCTATGGGGGGAGGGTGCAAAGTTTTAACAGTAAATTTAAAACATTTGGCTTCTGGATATCAGAAATAAGATATTTTAAAGGTACACATACAGTCCAATTACCTTGCATGTATTATACTTTATCTCTCCTTCAAACAAAACTAGCAGAATAAAATCATTGTATCTAAAAAATCGACTTTATTATGCATATGCTGTTATGTTAATAATAATTAGTATTTAAACTTGAGATAGTAAAAGACATTCTATGAGATGAAAAAAGGATAAACCAGAAAATAATTATGACTTGTAAAAGATTCTGTTTTGAAAAAAAAGTAGGAGTACAATTCTAATCATGACATAAAGCTGAATTTTAGTAAGGAAACTCATGGATACCCTTGAGGATGACTTAAACTAAATAAATTAAAGTTTTCTGTTTAAATTCTATTTTTAAAATTCCACGGGCAACGCCGGGCACTTCAGCTAGTTTGTAATAAAAAGAAAGATAACAAAACAGCGGTGTTATAAAAAAGTAAAAATTAAATCCAAATAAAAAATAAAAAATTATTATTTTACTACCTCCAAACTCAAGCCAATTCAAACATTAGGATGAATGTGCATTCTAAATTGATTTTTCATTCGGACTTCTGTCATAGTGGCTCTGGTCCAGGCTAATACAATCTTCTTAGTGCACTGAATAACAGCAAACAAGATTCGAAAAGTTTGAAAGCTCTGAGCTCTAGGGGGGGGGGGGGTCATTACCCTCCTTTCCCCCCTGTATACGCCCTTGGACGCAGCGCTCGGACCCATACCATGTCCTAGCCTCAGCGCTCGGCCCGAAATTGTCCTAACCTTGCTTAACCCCGAAATAATACAAAAATTATTTTTTAAGTTGAAAATAGTTTAAATCTAGGTCGTATACAAAATTGATAAGGAGGAGGGCCAGGGGGGGGGTCCAAAAATCGTTCTCTAGGTCACACCCATTAACTGGTTATTTTCTAGTCCCTGTTAAGGATTTTGGACACACACTTCCCCCCCCCCTTTTCATCATTTTTGTACAAGCATTTTAAATGTAACTCAGTATGGATATGGTGAACATGTGGCTGCAGCGCTTGGCCCAGATGTCTGAACCTTTTAAACTGACAAGATGATAAGATGGGAGGGGGTCCAAACAAGTTGAAATTGATCGTCCTAAAATCGTTTTTTTATAGATCCAGAATTTTTATAAAATGTTTATTTCAGAAGATTGAATCAAGAAGGAAATGGCCTCTGAACCACGAGGAAGTTCTCCAGCAGTGAGAACTATGTCGAGGAGCCTAACAGGTTCACCTTCTCCAGTCAGAACTAGATCTGTAGCACCCTCTTCAAGATCAAGATCTCCTTTCTCTAGATCTCCCAGATCCCCCAGAAATAGATCACCTAGGTTCAGATCTCCAAGATCGCCAAGATCTCCAGCTATGAAGGTTATCGATGGAGATCGGGAGAAGCCCGAACCTTCCAACTGTTTAGGAGTTTTCGGATTAAATTATTCCACAACTGAGGATGATTTAGATCGGAAGTTTAGTGAATATGGTAAACTGGAGAAGATAAACCTAGTCCTAGACGGTCCTAGTCGCAATTCACGGGGTTTCGGGTTTATATACTTCGAGAAGATCGAGGATGCGACACGGGCGAGGGAAGCGATGAACGGCAAGGAGCTCCAGGGTTTCAAGCTCCGGGTAGATTTTTCTTTAACAAAATCTGGTCATAAACCTACCCCTGGTGTTTACTACCATCGTGGCAAGGCAGGGTTTCATCAGTTCACAAACTTTTAAACTCAAGTNTTCCAGGGGGTTCAGCAGTGCACCCTGAAACCCCCTAGAAAACAATAGATTATACTGATCCAGGGGGGAGGCTGAACCCTCATAGCCCTGGATTACGCCTCAATCTCATGTTAAAAGTCTGAACCCTTTTTGTTTGACATCTAATGAAGGATTTCTCTAATTAAGGATTTTGTTCTGTTTAAGATTAAACATAATCATTTATAAAATTTCTGGAAAAATATTAAGATGACTCCATTTTATATAAAATTTCTGTTCATTTTGTCTGGGTGGATGGAATTGGCAAATATGCGATTTTTGACATATAATATAAAATTCAGCACAGTATTGAGTTCACTGCAATAAAAAAATGCAGTATTTATGTAATACGCAGAAAATATTGAAATTCATTAGAAAATTTTGAAATTCCGTAAAAATTATTGAAATTCAGTAGAAAATATTGAAATTCAGTAGAAAATATTGAAATTCAGTAGAAATTATTGAAATTCAGTAGAAAATATTGAAATTCAGTAGAAAATATTGAAATTCAATAGAAAATATTGAAATTCAATAGAAAATATTGAAATTCAGTAAAAAATGTCTAATGTGCACAACACTGTATTGAAAGAGAAGAGCAAAAATTGATTTTCTGTTAAACTAGAATTGGGACTAAACACGTCATGATATATATGGGGCATTGTGAACAGTCAACATATTTTAGATGACTGATTTCATTATGTTTTGGACAGATTTAAATTTTTTTGAGTTTTGAGGGAATTAAACTTGGGAACAACTTTGAAAATATAAGTCTAATTTCTTAAACCTAAAACATGAACCACGCGAAAACTAAATTTATGTGTTATTAAACTCAGTCTGTAAAATGTACACTGAACAGTGTACATTTTACAACACTGTATTCATTTATTTACTTTTAACATTGATGTATTTTAATGTTTCTTTAAAGACCATACATATTTTACACATATATTACGTAGTATTGAATTGAGTTAAAGTTTCATATTTTTGAATTATGTGGTTTTAAAGGGAGTGTTCGCGAAAAATGAAAGGTGGTATAAGCTAAATGCGATAAAAAAGCGCTTTTGATCGCTACTAATCTTACTTCTATCTGTTGCGTCTATAAGGAGAAAATTGTTAAAAACTACTAATACCGAAGAACGTAGTGTCCATACAATTTCAGAAAGATGCAACATACGACTTAGACCGTAAAAAAATCTATTTAATTTCAAACAAATCATTCAGATATTACAACCTATAGTCATCGATTATCTTTCGCCACATTTGTATATAGTTGATTTTTCTGAATGATTTGTTTGAAATTAAATAGATTTTTTTACGGTCTAAGTCGTATGTTGCATTTTCTGAATTTGTATGGACACTACGTTCTTCGGTATTAGTCGTTTTTAACAATTTTCTCCTTATAGACGCAACAGATAGAAGAAAGATTAGTAGCGATCAAAAGCGCTTTTTATCGCATTAAGCCTATACCCCCTTTCATTTTTCGCGAACACTCCCTTTAATAAATTTTTCAAAAGTGTGGGTAATTAAAAATGCAATCATTTATTTTCCACAGGAAATATTGGTGCCTGTCTATTTTTCTGTAGTTGATCTATATCTTCTTTATTTCCCAGCTTTTTCGGACATTTTAAGATTATATTAAAGGACAATTTCGTGGTTTTTAATGTTTTTAATGTATAAATCCAACCAAAATTTTAATTGAACCAAAAAAGTCAAAACAACAGAACCAATCGGGCCCAAATATTTTATAACAACTCACGTGACCCCAGAAAAGGTTACCGACTAGTCAAATTAAAAAAAATCGACATTTAGAATATTTCAAATGCAACAATTAAAACAGAAAATCGGAAATAATGTGATTTACAAAACTACGAAGAAAAAATGGCGACCCGAGAAGAATCGCTCAAATTGTCCAAAGAAGGGAAGGGGGGGGGGGGTTCGTAGTGCCCTTTTAAAACCTAGTATTAAAATGTTGAAATTAATTTAAATGAAACCTTGAATTAGGCGTTGAAACCGGGAGAGAGACAAGGTACTAAATATAAACACACGTCGAGTAGAACTCAGAGATATCGGGACCCTGAGGATAGAGATCAAGGTTGCCGATGGAGAGATTCATTTTCGACTAGAGATCATCATCGAAGATCGTACAGAGATATTCATAGAGATATTGACCGAAGTAGAGATGATCGATACCATGAAGAACGATATCGGGACGAACGGTACAGAAATGAACGATATATTAGTGACCGTTATAGGGGAGATAGATATAGGGATGAACGATACCCAGATGATAGATATAGGGATGATCGATACAGAGAAGATAGATATAGAGATTATAGATACCAGGATGAACGACTAGTGGACGATCGTCGAGATCAACTTTATCACGAAAGATCGTATAGAGATCGCGAGTACGAACCAAGGTACTCTGAACGGGATCAAGCCTTCTACTCCAGAGATCCCTACAATCCTCCTCCCCACCATAGATCAACATCTAGACGATCTCCTAGTCCTGGTCCATCTCGAAGATCAAGATACTGAATCTAGAAATTCTATAAATATTATTGTTTTCCCGAGAAAATAGAAATCATCCCTCCGATCAATTAAGATTGGGATTAGTGGCGGGAAAATATTTTCGACAAAAATTTTAAAATGAAATAAATTTGATATGTTTGTTCAATGCGAAAGCTTCAAACTGTGAACTAGAGAAACTGGATCAATCCGAAACTTCAATCAATCAATCCGTCAACCGATCATTCTGTCATTAATGTCAATCTGTCAAACGTTAGAGAATTTGTCAAAGCATCGTCGATCAAACCTGAGAATTGTAACACGGCTGTGAGAATTGTGATACCAAATAAATTGATCAAATATTGAGAGTTTTAAAATGCTGAAGAACCACGTTGCGTTTCTGCATTTAAATGCGGTTTTTGTTCATGTAGTCCCATTTGTATAATTTCATTTTTTTCTTCTTGATTTCCGTTAGATAATAAAACTAGCTTCTTCATATTTATTATATACATGTTAAATGTTATTTCTCCAGAAAAAGCAACTTTAATTCTAATATAGTTCTCAACAAATTTTAAGAAATTTTGGTTTTAATTTTTTTTTGATTTCGGTGTCACTTTTAGGCTGGTTAGTAATTGATACTTTATATTTGACCTTCTATTATTAAAATGGCCACACTAACGGTACCCATCAACTCCTTCAACTTTTATTCTTAAACAAGAATGTGAGAAAATTGTTGTTTTGTTGGTTTGAGATGTGCTTAATTTTGACACTATTCTCCATGTTTCTTAAGCAATAAACCCAAGGAGACTTAGATAAAGAAACCACAAAGAAAATCCCTGGGTGGGGCCCTTGCCCCACCGCGGGAATTATGGGCAAAGGTTAAAATCAGGTGTGGTGGGTAAAAAATAAGCTTGCCCTTATCTTCAACGGGGGGTTTCCCCCTTAAAAAAAATAGTTGAAAATTTTCCTATTTTCAAATTCTACCTAAATTTTACCCTTTTTTCTAAAATTTCCTCCTCCCCCCTACTTGACATTAGTAAAGGATTAAGGTATAAAAAAAGAGGATGGAGGACTAATTACAGTATTTAGGTGACTATTAGGACTTCTGAGAATAATACAGAACTATACTGAGGGATACATTATCGTATATAGTCCTTGAATCGGGACTACAGTGGACTACAAAGGGGAGTTAAAGTACCCATTTAAAAGGCTTTACGATAATTGAAGCGAATTCCCATGCAATATGACAATGCTCGATTCACAACGGTACCCATGACCTTAATCTAATCAATTATTTTGATATTTCCTTAATGTTTTCCAGCAATAGAAATGCGCAAGTAACTTCTGTAGTGAAACAACAACTCTAAATATTCAGTTTTTAAAATTATGAACGTCCATATCTAATTCATACTTGATCAGACAACGCTTGAAGGTGTGCTGTACCGTTGTAAATCGAGCATTGCTATCTTTGCATGGAGGGTCACTTGAAATTGGTGAGCTCAATAGTAATTTTAATTAAATAGCTATCAATGATTTCAAACGTCTTCAGTCACTTGTAATGTTAAGTGGTTCAACCTGTACATAAACCGCATATAATAATTATGATTTATTCTTTTTCCCACATTTGATAACTTCATGCATTTTATTTGCATTTAATGACATTTCTGAAGTATGAAGTGAGACATTGTAAGGAGGTCATATATTTGCGACCTTGCGACTTCGTAGCTCCTCTGAGAAAAATGTCGTGCTGTTAAAACATTAAGTTTGAGATTTCACCCTTCCTTAAATAAATGATTCCATCCCTTTTTGACGTTTATTGGACACAAACAAACATTAACCTAACATAGAGACAGGCAAGCAAAGTATATTATCTATATACATAAAGTTGTAATCTCGATCATAACTCAGGAACCCTTGGACTGATTTGCCTCAAGTTTCGATTGGGGAACTCGTGAGACCCTCGGGAATGTTCTTAGATTGGTTTTGAGATTCTAAATTGAGTTTGTCGACTTAAATAACGAAAATTTAGTTTCCCGGTGAAATTGTTAAAGTGCGGGTAAACGGCGGGAGTAACTTTCAATAACCTGGGCAGCGCTGGGTTCCCAAGCTAGTATATAGGTAAAGTAATGTCTGTTTGTAAGTCCGATCATAAATTATTAACCTTTTGACTGATTCCCCTCAAACTTTGATTGGGGAACTTGGGAGAACCACGGGAATGTTCTTAGCTTGGTTTAAAATTCTGAATTGGGTGGTTTGTCGTCTACAGGCAAAACTGGGTTCCCAAGCTAGTATACAGTCAATCAAACCCTAAATAAGCCTTGCATCGAAAAAATTTATCAAATGTCGTATTCTTCACTTTCTGATAATGGAATGTTACAGATATTTAAGTTTTTAATTAAACGAATATATGGAGCTCTTTAAAACTGTTCCCGTATATTCATGGCTATTTATTTATTTTCGCAAATACTGAGATTTACGTAAAATAGTATAAAAACCCATTGAAAAATTGAAATATTTTATTTAAATGAGTCATTTTGTGAACTGCTTGTCTGTGGCTGTTGGAGCGGGGCATCCTGAACCGGGGTTTTTCCTGAGTGATATTATTATTTTAATGCAAGTTTTATTCGTGGGTCCAGTGCTCAAGGGAGCACCGGACCCATGAAACATTTGCTCTGAGATTTACACTCCGGGCAAATGGTACTAGTGGAGCCAGTGCTCCCTTTGTTTAGGGGTATTTTAATGAAATTATTTAAAAAATTTCTTGAATTGAATGGACTCAAAATCTAAAACAATTTATTCACTCTAGATGTTTGGGTGTGTTGCTCTGACGGTGGCGGCCCTGCAGGATGCATACATATTATTTAAAAAGCTCATTTTGGATTTTTTTGGTTCTATAATTTTTATAATTTAGTTTTCAATTTATTTTTATGTCCACATTGTTAATAGTGTTTTAAATATTAAATAATCCTATTCCCTTACTAATACTGCCTCAACCTAGGATGATCATTTTAGGTACTTTTGAAATAGAGTGTTAGTGTGCTAGGATGTATATGTATAGTATTCACCCGTCTACAAGCCGATGATGAATTTTAATTCTAAGGCTGACTACGAATGTAGATTTATAATCAATTAATTGTCAAGACCACATTTGATAAATTCTTCCGATGTATGGCTCATTAAGGGTTTAACTACAATAGATTACTTATAACAGAAGAAGCTTTATGAAAGTTTCATTCTAAATATGAAACCATATTTTTTTATGTGTTTGTTGTTATCACTGATCCAATCCATCCAATTGTTTAATTGTTCTTATACAGCTAGTGTCCCAATAAACATAGGAATTCCTTGAGGAATTTTATATCGTCTTTGATGCTGCATTTTTTCATGAACACAATTGTTGCAGTATTTGAGCTTTAACATCTATAAATATTAATAACGCCTGGTCTTAAGATTTTCAAAATGTGCAGGTCTACCATTTTTGTACCTTAAAAATTAACGAAGATATTTCAAAAGTTGTATACAAATTTCAATTTATTGAATAAGTCAAAATTATCTTAATATCCAATATCTTCTTTAAGTTTCTAGAAACAAGAAAGGCAGACCACTTTATGAAAAACTCGGCTAACGTACAGCCTCATTTTTATAATTTGTTTGCGAAGCATTAAATATCAGAAATCAAAGACGACTGTAAAGGATCGTCTCTAATTTCCATGTTTATTATGATTTATTATGATTTATTTGTCGAACACATAAAATTGGTTCAGATATATATTAGATTAGAACTATAATTCAATTTATACATAGGTTTTCAACTAACGACTTTAATTCTTCTCTAATGTCGTCTTCTTCACAGTCCCGGAGCTGTGACAGGAGATGCTGCAGACATTCGATATTGTCTTCTTCTTGAATGGTGAGCGGCCCACATTCTTCAAAGATGGCTCTTGGTAGGCTGTTTAATATATCTAGAGAGAATTCGTCAGAGATATTTGAAATGTTTCTTCCAAAGTCGTACTGTAGAGAATATGCAGATATCGATCCAACTTGCCAAATCAATGGATTCCAACTATGCAAAATAGACTGTGCAAACTTGGCAAATCGTCTCAGTAAAAAAACTCTCACAGAGTTGAATTCTTTAGAAAAATTCTTCACAAAATAAGTATGTGTAGGCTGTGGCAAGTTCCAACAAACTTTAACTGTAGTGTTCCAAGATCGGTAGGTTTGACAGGCATATTCACTGTAAAGGTTCCAAATATTGCTTCCATAAAAGGAACAACAATAAGTTTGCACAGCAGATAACTTTTGCAGTGGTGAGCAGAAATGAAAAATTCCCAATAATTCAGTAGATGATTCATTGTAGGCACCATGAAGAAGAATTAAACTAAAGTGAGTCAAAAATTGCGCGAAGTGATATAAAATATTATAATATATACATTTCCAGAAGCGTAATTGGAGTTTGTTGGTGTGTTAAATGATATGGTGTTTTTTTAAGCTTGCTTTATTCGCACACTATCCTCCACAAGTTTTGTAACAATAAAGGTATCGTTGTGAATTGGACATATTTTTGTAATGGAAGTTCACTTGAAATGGGTTTTTGTTGGGTGGGGGAGTATAGTTGTTTCTAATGAAAATTGTGCCTCAAACAACCCGAGCCACGGTTTTTTTTAATGGATGAATCTTAAAATTTTCCATATTTCTGGGAAATTTTTTTCCCCGTGTTTCATTCGTGTTATTGTCTTTTCTTTTTTTAATCTCTTATGAAAAGAGGGGGGGGGGGGGGCTCGATCTTGCACACTTCATATTCAAACAATTAATAGGTTGTATGGTCATAATCGCAGTAGCTTGTCATTTAATTGCGTTTTGATTTCCTTTAAAAATAATTATTATATAAAGATATCGATCACAAGTTGTCCTTTCCAAAAAATATTTACTGATTCAAATCTTTATTTTGTAATTAATACAGAAGCAAATATATATTAAAATCTACAAGTCCAGCCTCAGAACATGTAGAATATTTATCTAGAATTCAGACATTTTTAAAGTATGGTAGAACATGGTTTAACTTAATTCATGAGAAAGCACAAATGGAAATAGATTAGTAAGGTCCTAGGACTATAGATTAGTTAAGTCCTAGGACTGAAGTTTTAAGGTCCCAGGACTAAAAAGAGGTTGCTAGGTCTCAGGGTTAAAGTTAAAAGGTGCAAGGACTGGAGTTTAAGGTCCTAGGACTTAGGAATAGATGAATTACATGTACCAGGACTAAAACAAGGTTCTAGAACTGTACTGGAGTTGCAAAGTTCCAGGACTGAAACAGAGTTGCAAGGTTCTAGAACTGTACTGGAGTTGCTAAGTTCCAGGGCTGTAATAGAGTTGCAAGGTTCTAGAACTGTACTGGAGTTGCAAAGTTCCAGAACTGTACTGGAGTTGAAAGGGTTCAAGGACTGTACTGGAGTTGCAAAGTTCCAGGACTGGATTGAAGTTGAAAGGGTTCCAGAACTGTA